TTGTAGTTTTCTACCTACAATATTATCCCGAAAACTATTGAAAGCAGGGGTCTACTAAATCTCATCACTCTACTTTAGAAGGACAAAAGCACGACTTGCTAAACTTCGTTATATATGGCGACCATACAAAATACATATTTCTACTAATCATAACCCAACTAGATACCTAGACGACCCAGTCCTCTTTTTACCTGACTTCGGGGTTTGCGTATTATACGTAGATCTCCACTAAAGACAACATAATAGGTAGTTTAGTTCAACACATTGTGTGCCAATGTGTCTGCGTTTTACTTATTTTTTTTGTTTTAAATTAAAATTTTTGGTGATATTTTCCATTTTTGTATGTATTTTGTATTGATATGAATTATTTTTAGCCTTTTTTTGAGGTTTACTCATTTTACGTCAGTTATTTGATTTTTTAGGTGTCTTTTATATATGAAAGGCATCTGTATCGTATGGAGGGTGAGTTACCTCACGACACTTAAACCTCACTAGGGCTCATTGTGCATCCTTCTCAGATGATAAGCACCAAGCTCGTGAGTCAGCCTACAGATTTAATGTAAGTGACAACGCCGCCAAGAGATGCTTCTTTTATATCGGTCGGTGTTAGCCGATATTCGCTGAATACAAATCTTTTAATAAATCGTAGGAAGACATGCTCGATGGTCTTATCTTCTTGTTCGCACTCCTTGCAGAGTGTGTATTCTGAGAGCCCCATATTATGAAGATGCTTCCATATTTGGACAATGACCAGTCGTAGTCAAGTATTTGACTATATATGAAAGGCCTAATCCTGCCTCAAAGATATTGCATTTTTTTGTATGTTCTTGGTGTTTTCTTGAATCCACTAGTTATTTAAATTATTTTTGAGGATGTTTTTTTGTCTAAATGAAATAAAATTAAAATACAGATTCCATTAGGGAGAGTATTATTATTATTATTATTATTAATAATATTATTAATTAAAATCTTTTACTTATTGTGTGAGGTAGATACATTATATAATGAAGTAGATATAAAGAAATTACCATTACAAAATGAAAAAGATGGTATACCCAAGACATTATTTCCCTGAAAATTCTTAAAGAAAAAAATATATATTATATTATGTAATATTATACCAATAACATAACTATTTAGGTTAATGTATGTGTTGTTTTTAAAAAAATTTCTGTTTTTTTTTTAGAAAAATTTAATTTTATTCCTCCAATAGAGTTTTTAGGTGTTAACATTCATAGACTTATTTAACTCTTTTATATTAGCCCATATATTTATTACACAATACACATATCGCACCCCTGATTCATTAGTGCCATAAATGTTAATTTTACAGGAGAAGCGAAACAAAAACCATTGTGGATGTAATATTTTTTGAGCAGCATTTTCAGTACTTGTGCTTACCAAATTCGGTATACATATTGATTAAATATGTCTCTACTGAATAATAATACATGTAATGTAGTGAAATGTACACAGATAAGCCTAAAACAAAAAAAATGTTATGTGATATGGCAGTACTTTTGATGGTGCCTTGTGCGGAATTTATTAGAACTATTGATGTGGCACTTTTATATATTGTAGGCATGTTCCTAATGTATACTGTGCAAAAAAAAGTCAATTAAAATTTTTTTAGGGAATAGCACTATTGAAAAAAGGGGTGCGATATTTTAAATTAACTATATTTACATAAATAACACGTTTTTATAATCTAAAAATAACATTTTATGTATTTCTAGATATGTCTATTTCTAGTAGGTCTTCAATCTGTGTTAGGTTGTTTTTAAACTGGTTTAACGGATCTTTAAATAGCCAACAAATCGTATTCAAGTAGTGTTCAGATAGTATTCAAGTAGTGTTCAGATAGTATTCAAGTAGTATTCCAGTAGTATTCAAGTATTATTCCAGTAGTATTCAGATAGTATTAAAGCAGTATTCAAGTAGTATTTAAATAGTATTTAAGTAGTATTCAAGTATTATTCAGGTGGTATTCGAGTAGTATTCAAATAGTATTCAAGTAGTATTCAAATAGTATTCAAGTAGTATTTAAGTAGAAGTCAACTAGTATTTATGCGATAACACTTGTCTACCAAATGAAACAGAAAAGTAGTAGGTTACTATTCACTTTGAATTATTTATAATCGTACCATACCCTGTATACCTATAAATTAATGTAATTCTGTTTTGTTTTCGACATAATTTTTAGCATTGAAATTTATAGGTATATTCTACGACACATTTAATCTACTAATAGCAATTGTTTATTATATAGATTTACCACAACTGAAATTTGGTTACCTAAATATGTACTGCTATCTATATTCTGTCATTGTGAACCCCAATATTTTGGTCATGAGGCACCACTGTACTTTATTAATTCTGTAGTATGTCGGCACTACAGAAAGTGGCTTCTTGTAACACCATTTAAGGTCCCACTACTTTCCATTTCCGTGATTCACCCCTCATTTATCGTCATTTATTTCACGCTAATCGGCTAAGTTCAACGGTGTTGCGTCCCTTGGTGAAACGCCCTCCAGTGGTTGCGCATCCACAGCGTGACCGGAAAGACAACGACTTAACTTTTGCGAGAATATGAATGCACACTAATCTTGCAACTGTCCGGCATTCTTCAATAATACGCTCATGACTAGAGGTGAGTTCGGGCTGCGCACTCTAGAGTGAAGTGGAGTAAGTAGGCGTAAACGGAGTGCGCGTATGGTTTTACTCCTTTTACTCTCAGAGTTCAATGTCAGTTGTCAATTTGACATACTAATACTTAAAACCTAATCGTACTTATCAGTAACAACCGTATAAGTTTTTTCCATATTAATGGTATGCACGGGAATCAAATAAAAGGCATTTTTACTTAAGAATTAGTCACAATTATCTTATTATCGATTTAAATCACCTTATGCGCATGCCCGATCCACACTCCACTCCGCGATCTCCGAATGGTCAAAGAGGAACTTTTATTTTAACTCCTTCCGTACCCGAACGCCTTAGGTACTTTAGGAGTGAATATAGTGAAAAGAGTGCGTAGACCGAACTCACCTTAGATTGATGTTACCAGTTAACGAAACAAACTCAATAACTAGAACAGTAATCCCAATATAGGGTCAATGACCTATTTGACAAAAGTCGATAATTAAGTTGTCGTATAAGTAACTAAATACATACATTCTTGTCTAACCAGATCATGTGTCGATGTATTTTGAATTTTTTTGAATGTTTGTAGTCGCACCATACCCCATATACTTATAATTTAATGTACTTCAGTTTAATTCTCACCAGAGTTTAACATTGGTATTCATAAGTATATTCATAAAATCCAAATTAATAACAAATATTTATTACATAGATTTAACTGCAGTAATCTCATTTCATATTTAAAACACATGACTACGAACACGTATATCTATTCAAGCAATTAATTCAAATGTAACATGTCGCCTTCCTATTAGTTATGACCCTTACGAGCCGAGCCCTTTTACCTGGAATCAGATACCTCTTCTTCAACCGCGGTGTGATATTTACTATACTAGCCGCTTTGTTCGAAGCCGCGTTATATTTACCATCATTTAGCGAATTAAATAATTATTAATGATTGACAGGTTATTAATGATTGATAGGTAATTAATGATTGACAGGTCATTAATTATGGACGAGGTGATATTTGATTGACAGGTAATTAAAATGATTAATGACCTTTGGCGGCATCATTGTCGGCATCATCAAAGGAAAATTTGGTTCCCAGGCTCAAGTGCCTCTATACCTACTTATTTTAGACAATGCACCTTACCATTCTGAAGTATTAAACAAAAGTCCAACGAATTCTTGGACTGTTGATAAAATTAAAGAATAGTTGACAAAGGAACATATACCATTTCCTCAATATATATTAAAATTAGAATTATTACGCTTGGCAAATATACACGCAAAACAAAAACCTTTGTTGTGGATCAGATTATTGAAAGTAACGGTCATCAAGTTTTACGTCTGCCACCGTATCATTGCCAGTTTAATCCCATCAAATATATATGGGGAATATCAAAACAATATTATGACAACCATATTGGGCCTAATGGTTATAGTGACGACGCAGTTCTAGAAACTTGGCGAAAAGCACTTTCAATTGCAACTCCAAAAGTGTGGCGGAAAATAAAATAAACGAAATAAGTTAAATCATAATAACAATTAATGGTGATGACAGTGATGATGATGACGATTATGATATTTTGGATGATAATGACTGATTTTCATTTTTGTTGGCAAGTTAATTTTTTTTATTTTTCGTTTGAAATTCTCTACATGGAACAAATTTTTATGTTAGAAAATATTTTATTTGAGCTAAATAACCCTCTTATTATACATAGACCATATTTTCTGTGTGAAGTGTAATATAAAATTATTATTAGGTTTATAATAGCCACATTAGACTCCATTAATGAAGAAGTTTAATTCTGCTCTCAATTATACAAAAGATTCCTCCATTATTATTTAATTAAAAAGTTGTACATTATTTTTCATTTCATTTAACCAGTTGATATTTCCCCAAAGAACAGGTCAAACTTTCGGGTACTTACCTGGAAATACTCATAAAATTTTTAATTCGAAACCCGCGTAAGTATAGCGACAGACTGTAGGTAACCCGTGGTTAGTCCATATTTATATAGTCTTTAAAGCCAACTGGATGTTCCTTAACAAACTCCGATATAAAACCACGACTTATTAGACGCATTATTTACTAAAACTATCCATAAATTTATGAATTTCAAAATCGTTGAGCTTCACCTTTACTGAATCATTTTCGCTAGCATTAGCTCAATTTTAGTTAAATACGGGATTATATGCAGCATTTTTTAAAAAAGTACGTTGTCTTGTCTAAATTGGACATTTTATATACCTGCCCTAAAAACAGATACGGCAGATAAATGTTATTAATGGTTAAAAAGCGTACAAGTGTAATTTTCACACAGTGTTTATTTATTATTACCTATATTTAGCAAAAAGTGCCCATACTATTTTCAAATCCAGTCTTTCTACGTAAAACTACGAACTGCATAAGAAAATGTTGGCCGGGAATTCAAAGAATTGGCAGCGATGCGAATTCTAGCGAATACAGGACGCCCGAAGATCTCAAAGACCTTAACGTAAAATTTGATCCGAACGTCGTGTCATACATAAATATGGACAGTGTGAGGCTTCAGTTTGCCATGATAAAAAGGCACTTATTATCGAGAGACTCCCTGGATGATATTGCAACGCACGTGAAAGCGCATAAAAAATTTGTATTGGAATTTTACATGACAACCAAAGGAGCACAACCCGAAGTGGTAAGTTTCAATGTCCAATGTTGTATTTGTAGTGCTATTTTTGGTTCTTTCGCATACTTACTAGGATTTTTAGACAACATAATGTTTTTCTAAGAGGTAAGGACCTTACGTTAATATTTTCGGAAAGCAGAGATTTCAGAAACTACGATTTTGTTATAAGTTTAACTAAAGTGAAAACTATGTTGCTTATAGCAGAACTGCCGTATATCTAAAATTGGGGTATCAGATAGTGAATTTGTTATAACAGTTTAACTTTTTAACAAATATAGTTACACTTATATAGAAAAGACGTACTAATCTAAAATGTGACCTACTGTACAGCATTTTCAAAGTCTGTCCAGCATTTAAGGCCGATTTATAAACTTGCAGTTGCAGTTACCGCTCGCAGCTGCAGTTCCCGTTGGAAGTTAGAAATCTACATTCACATTTGCGACCTTTCCTATATTCTTTGTTGCTGTCACCCTTAGAGCATATAATAGAGTAGAGGTGTTCACATACTTTGATTACTATACGGGGCAAGAGAGAGGTCCGACACGCCCAACATAGGGCGCGGCCATTTTGATTCCTATGCCACAGTTTAGAGCTAAAGAATCAGATCGCTCACTCTGCGTCGGCACTTTTGATCTCAATGTTCCAGTTTATACACTGCGCAACTCGGATAATACAATATATGACAACCGCCTATTAAACAGCAGTCTTCTGCGTATTCTGAATTTGTATCCCTGGATTGGATGTTATTTTGGAACTTTCAACTGGTCCGAGTGAGCTAACTGATTCTTTAGCAATAAACTGTGACTCCAAAAATAATATTCACTGACACTGACAGCAGCAAGCAAAATATCAGGTGCGTTTTAATCATCCGCTTCTGCTTCCGGAATTGTCGGTTCAGTCGTTCTAACCTGTCAGATTAAAACAAGAAAACCGACAATTCCGAAGCAGAAGCGGATGATTAAAACGCACCTATTAAAAATATTGCGCCAAGATGTAGGCAACACGTAATAAAGGTTCAAAATGGCGGAGTTTTCTATCTCCTTTTAAAAGGCACTCAGAAAGCTGCGCAGTGCGACCATTCTCCGTATAGTAAAAGAAAATCAAAGTATGTGGGTAGAATGCTTGTCAATAGACTTGATGTGCGACTCTATGGGCGAAGATAGGTTATTTTCATCTCAGTATTTAAAATAACCATTTTCTATTTCACATTGTTATTGTCTGATCCACCAGCTTGTGAATTGAACAATAACAATGTGAAACAGAAAATGGTTATTATAAATAGTCCCGAGTGAGATGAAAAATAAAAATGGCTGCGCCCATAGAGTCGCACATAGTTCTAATAGTACAACATGTACATTGGCATTCTACCCCCTCCAGTTCATTGGGTGTATGTCGCGACCCCCTTAGATATACCAGGGCTGGAACTCTGTGTCATGTAGAATTCTACTTATCGCTTTCTACAATAGATTCTTTTGTGGCACTCTGTGTAACATAGCGGAAAACCAACGAGTATATACTTACTACAGGATAACTAGTTTCATAAGAAACCACATTGCGATATTTCCCGTGCGGTTGATAACGTATTTATCACAAAAGAAGTAATCGATTTCTATTGTAGAAAGCGATAAGTAGAATTCTATATGACACAGAGTTCCAGCCCAGCCCTGGTCATAATTTGAAAAAATATATATAGGTTACAATGTTTTCAGAAAAAAATGAACGGCGGGTTGTACAATACGCGGTTAATCGTCCCAAAAATTGTTTTTAAATGAATAAAATTAACATTTATTTTCAAATCACTTTCACGAATGACAATTAACATGTCTGATAGATACTCAATGCGCAAACTCAAACCTCAATTTTGAATCTCCTTAACGAAACGTAAATTTTAAGCAAGAATTGACATCAAATCCATTCTCCTAATTTCAGTTCTGTGTTATTGTCCAGCAAAATGCCATTATTATCCAGCATTGTCCAGCATGTAATACATAATTTACTGAAACGTAACAAATTAGACAAAAAAAACGTAATACATGGCTTCTCTGTTATCTTTGGAGAGCTCTACATGACTTTTGTGTCTTTGTATTTATCTTTGAAGGAGGGGGAAAGGGGGACGGGGGGAGAGCTAAAAAAAAGGTCCACACCTCCTTTCCAAAGTTCATCAATGTTGTATTCGGGTTCAGAGTTCAGCATTGGGTTAAAAGAAATATGGTCACCCTATGTAAACGTCTACATGGGAATATTGGATCATTAATTAAAAACAAAATAATTTTTTACAGAAAACCCCGAAAAATCATGAACCATCTGTTAGTACAAAAAAAGGAACAAGTTTTAACCCGTATTTACATCTAATGGCTCTCATAGATTTATCTCCTTTGCTATATCCCGGAGGTGTGTAATATATATTCATACTTGTGATGTTTGTTCATAGATAAACCGTTTGATTTTCCTTGAAAATTTTCTTTTTAACTGTCAACCAGTTTTTCAAATAAGACTTACACATAAGTTTAGTAAACACAAAAATATTTTAAGTCAAACCGTATATCTGTAAACAAACTATGTACACATATTTTTAGTTAGAAGAGTTCGTGTCGCAACTCCTTTGACAACGTTTTCTTCGGAAGATGCTGCCAAATACGGAGGACTTGAGGATTCGTATTTCTTCCCAAATGCCAAAGAAAATTCGAAACCCAATAAGGTTCCTGGAGAAACGGAAAGAACAACTAAAGAGGAGAAAGTAACGAAAGGGGCAGAAGAAAATCTGAAATATGTATGTAAAAATTTTTGATCTAAAGTACCGATAGTTTCTCATATAGTCTAAGATAAATATGTAGCAATATTTATTAACATTTTATGTATTTTCTTTATCTCCATTTATCCTAGTTCTGTGATCTAGAATTATTTCGAAGACTGAAACTTTCGTGGAACACTAAATTGTCTTTACCATTAATTAGTAATATTGACATTGAGTAATGAAAAGAACATTCTCCAGTGCACACCTACATTGTCATAAGTAAAAATTTATTACTGAATACAAAGATTACATTATGTTCCTTAGAAATTACCATTCAGACCCGAAGAAGCAGCGGATCCAGTTCAAGTATATGATGAAGAAGGACGTCCATGCTTCGTAGTGGTCGAAATTGTGTTAACCACTCCTTTGACGCCCAAAAAAGACATCGAAGTGTTAAAAGAAGAGTACGTATACCTACTTATTAAAATACCTCTTCTCTCTTCTATACAATATAACGAGTCTTCAACAACACCCTCATGGCACGTGATCTGGTTAAACAAGAAATTTAATGAAAATGGCCGTTCTTATATAGTGACATTCGATAGTGACTTAGTGACAACTTGAGTATCAGTTCTGTCAAATAGGTTAGTGACATTGTTTTGGGGTTACTCTATGGGGTTACTATTGAAGTTATTAATGTTACTTTTAGTCAGCTGATGACATTAATTTAGTCACGTGTGATACAATTATTGTTAAAGATTCTGTAAATTAGAGGCATTTCTTTATAAGCTTACCACGACATACTTCGTAACAGCGTTGTGGTTACTCTGATGACGTCAGACATACCGTGGTAACTCGTAGCACTTGTCGTTGTCACATGTCAAATTGGGGATTTGTTTACTTTGTTTTTGTTCAGATAAATAAAAATGTTTTTGTCACAGACGTCATTTGGTTTTCGTTTTTTTGTTATTTATTTAAATATGTCTCCTCCAACAAAAGGAAGAAAAAAAATTAATAAGTGTTATTTGTGATGAAATAACAATGATAAATACTTGTGCCAGTAGTCTCATATTTTCATCTTTATATTTCAATATAAATAACAGTATCCAGTGGTCATCAACATCGCTCTCGTGAAGAGTTATTTCAGTGCCCTGTATTTCAAATGTAATTTCTTTCATAGTAAATAGAGTTTTCTTTGGTAAATACAAAAATGCCCAACCCAAATATACAAAATGAACCATATAACCCGTAACCACAGAAAAATTTATCTAATATTTAATTTCTTTACAATACTTTGCGCATGCTCGATATGTTCAAATGTGGACCTTACTGACTACCACACACCTTACCACTAAAAACATCATGGTTAGTAGTAGTTACGTATTTTGGTAACGTATGACGTCATGGAAGTAACCAAACCGTTTAAAGAATAGCTTTGGTCACATAAAGCGTTGGTTTCTTTGAACACTCCGTCGCGGTGAGCAGACAGTCCGTCGACCGCTGAGGACAGTAATTTTCGCCCGAGGTGGTTTGTTAAAAAATATAGAAAATGATACTTTCTCTATGTCTGTACGTGCGGTTTATGTATTATGAATGTATTTTAAAGGTACTAAAATGGATGCAAATAAATTGTTTGCGTTGTTATTATTGTTGGAAGAGGAAGAACAAGAGGAACTGGCAATTGCAACCGTCAAAGTTTTCAATAAGCCAGTGGATGAGTTGTTTTTGTGTCGCGATACAGAAGATGCCTTTAATATCACTGTACAGCGGAGGCTTTTTGGAAATGAAACCAAATTTAGGGAGTATTTTAGACTTTCTACAGATCTTTTTGAATTCGTGTTGAGTTTTATAAAGGACATAATTTCCAAGAAACCTAAAAATAAAGTCATGATGTCATCTGTATGTGTGAATTTGTCACTTATTGTTTTAAAATTAATAACAATATAGTATCCGCACACGCCGACGATTCCGCTGATATCAAACTCAACAGATATCAACCGACTCTTTGCGACAAATCAGCGGCATGACGCCGTCCTGCTCAGCTAAGCGGATTCAAGAAAACCATTCCCATTTAAATACTCTGGTTGGATAAAATCGTCAAAACGCGACGGTTGACGGACTGTCCGCTCACCGCGACGAAGTGTTCAAAGAAACCAAGGCTTTAGTATGTTCTAGTAAGTTATGGTAAGCTTATAAAGAAATGCCTTAGGTAATTAACTTATATTTACGCAAAATCAGAATAAAAAAGTAATTCAATAGTGTCTACACCATAGATATAGAAGAATCAGTTTACACATTTTGGCCATTACTGTAAGTCCAGGAGATATGAACCACCGGGATAGATGGCCCATCGGAAAAGACCTTGTTAATTATTTCTTAACATCATAGAAATGTGTGGAAGACCTAGGGTATGGTCCGTTATTACCGAAATATCGGTTACTCGGTCCAAAACTAACCGCTCTGCTTGACATTCCTAAAAAATCGGTTCAATTAGGGACACGCACATACTTCGGGACGCGGTTACCTGAAAATGGTGACTCAACCGTCAATTCACTAACCACTCATTTTTTACGGCTACTATTGCCGCGTTTGAGAATCCACATCGGATGCATTTTTTATATCTCGAGCGTTTTTTTATCCACATCGGACATATCTGTCCCATTACATTTACGTATACTGAATCACGTGATCAAAGATTTTTTACATCTCAGATGCATCCGATGTGGATTCTCAAACGCAGCATATTAAGTCGTATATCAATCTGTCACGAACGTGACGTAAATCTTGGCCGTGGTCCAAAAGTAACCAAGAAATTAGTTTTTTTCAGGAACCGCTGTTAAAAAATCCTGGTTACTAGCGGTTAGTAGTCGGTTAATAACGGACCATATCCTAAATCACTCAGCTGACTGTTGCCTCTATGACTTTTGATTAACTGTTGAAAACATTCGACTCGACTCGAACAGATTCAATTCGTTTGAGAAAAACCTCAAGAATTCAGCAGAGGTGTTCGAATTCACCCCAAGTTACGGTACATTCAATGATGTGTGGCGTCTTTTATACCTATGCTGCATAGTGGAAGGAAATTGAGAGAGTTAAAATGAGGCGTGTGTATTGGTGAGAGTCGATGTTCGGTTCCGTTATACAAGCTTCAGCGTTATTGGTCACCTCTAAGACATTTAATTTGTAAATGCCGTTCCACCCTCAAAGGATAGAATTCAATAATAATCAAGTTAATATTAATTTTAAAACGTTTATATTGTTCTGTTGTTTTTTTTTTTTGGAATTTTGACTTTTGTATTTTTCTAAAATATTAGTCGTCAAACTTATGAATAGAATAAACGACTTTTTTAATTCAGCGAACCTTAAATAACAATCAAATCTTTACAGTCGATATCTGATATCTTTGAATTTTTAATTCAATCATTATGACTATTAGTTCCAGTGGCATAATAGATAAGGTGACGAGGAGTACACTCAGTGATCCAGGATCAATCCCTGGCTAGGACACATTTTTTCAATTCAGCTTTTTAAATTTTTCTGTGGTTTGCTTTCACTTTGGGCCTCTAGGGATTGATTCCTTAATTAGGGTGTCCTCTTCTTCTTCTTCTTCTTCTTCTTCTTCTTCTTCTTCTTCTTCTTCTTCTTCTTCTTCTTCTTCTTCTTCTTCTTCTTCTTCTTCTTCTTCTTCTTCTTCTTCTTCTTCTTCTTCTTCTTCTTCTTCTTCTTCTTCTTCTTCTTCTTCTTCTTCTTCTTCTTCTTCTTCTTCTTCTTCTTCTTCTTCTTCTTCTTCTTCTTCTTCGTCGAATGTCGGAAAAGGATTGTCCCTTGTACCCATTTAATATTGTTTATCTATTTATTATTTAAAAAAACGCGATCTATCTCTTCCAGACTTATCTTACATCGACCACAATTTTGTTATTAATAGCATATTTTGTCCTAGCTTGTCTAAACTGATAGTAGCAACGAGTCAAGTACCCCAAGATCTGTCAAAGGTAATTTTAACGTCTTGCATTACGGTGGATTATTACAAAGAAGTACTGAATGGTATGGTAAATGATTTGAATAAAAAATATTTGACTTATTTGGAAGAACAGAACTGTTCGACTGTACGCGGTAAATCCATTAAAAATTTGAAACATAAAACAATTCGCCTCTAATAATTTAATATTGTTTTAGAATGTTGCGAAAGAAATATAGAAAGTTTCGTACAGTACCTGAAGAAGAGAGGAGTGTACGAATCGTATGTAAATTCAATATCTAAAGCAGTGTCGTTGTTAATAAGCAAAAAATTCCATCTCAGCGATAATAAAAACGACGTACAATATCAAAAACTTATAGGCGACGTAAGTATAGACACATATAAAAAAGTAGGAAACCCGTAGTTCCGTTTGGCTAAAATTTCACAAATTCGACCATCCTCAAAACATCACCCTCTGCGTATCTTTTTTTTTTATAATTCATTTCCTTATTTGAAAAGAGCACAAAAAACTTCCAAAATGTTATTTTTATTTTTGGGCAGACTATTTTACTGCTCAAATTTTATTCTTATTACCTACTGAATGAAAGAAGGCAGGTGTTTATTAATTTTTGTTACGTTATTTGGCACTTATTATCACAATCTTTTTGAACATCCTGTATCAAATTGATTATTTAATTTTTTTCTGGTATCCCCAGGAGGCCCAATCCACACGTATTTATGACTATTAAACAACAAACACCAATAAGAATAAATACTAATAACTAAGGGTCTATTTATACTTCCTTATTGTTAGTATTTGCATTAGTAACATTATGATTAAGGATTAAGTTGAACCTTCACAATGTAATGGGGACATTTATACTCGATATAGGATTAGTATTAGCATTAATATTTATGATTAATAATTAACAGGTTCAACTTTTATGTTAAATCTTAAATTTGTTCTTTTCTATCAAATGAATCAATGACGTATTTGGCCTTTCCATGTTTTTAAGGTTGGTACCTTGGTTTTTAGCCATTCCAACGTCAGGTCATCGTCGCACGTTACTCTGATGATTTCACCAGAGTGCGTCCAAGACCTGAAGGTGGGTGGCTTGGTTTTGCTGCAGGAGGCAGACAAAATTGTTTTGTCCACTCTCCCATCAATGTCTATTTGACAAGGATTTCTCTTTCGGTAGATATCTTACCGTAAGGGTTATCTTTGTCTATTATAACTACTTTCAGGTGGCTCGTAGCTGCATCCTTGTAGCTTATCCCAGACAGAACTTTGTAGTGCTGTCTGGTTTTTTTCGCCTTCCGGGGCGTTACTTCGGAAGAGGTGTGAGATCGCGGCCTTTTCTTGTCCCTAGTTGCGTCGTGTTCCTGGCCTCTTTCGGAGGCAGAACTAGCGTTTTTGTTTATTTTGGAGTAAGGGAGTTTGCTAAGGGTGGCGGTTGCCGCAGCACTGCCTGCCTGCAACTTATCCCTCTTCCTCCTCTTTGCTTCAGACCCAGAGAGTCTCTTGCCTCTCCGGTGCCTATTAGTTGGAGGTGAATTACTGTGTCCATCCTTCTTTTTTGAAGTTGGGCGTCGCTGTCCAGCCTCCTGTGCAGAAGCTGAACTTTGTAGGAAGTGAGCGTTGACGTCCAACCCCAATTTTTGAGGTGATCGTCGCTGTTCAGCCTCCTGCGCCGGAGTTGGACTTAGTCGTCCAGTCTCCTTTGCTGCAGGCGAGCGTCGACGTCCAGCCTCTTCGGGTTTTTGTATTTCAGAATCCATATGGTTCCCACGAGTAGCTAGGGAAGGAAAGGTCGACCGACGCAGAGCCCCGCATGCGCCGGCAAGGCTAGATACAAGAGGGTGTCGCCAGATTCCCTCAGGGGAGCGTTTGCTGCCGCATCTGCCCTGCGACAATTCATCCGTCGGCACGTTACCTTACACTTTAGATTGGGGGAGTTGGTTCGCGGCGGTAGCCTTCGCAAAAGATTTTGAGGGTTTTTAGGCTCTCGCATTCTACTTATGTCTACCACTAACCAAGGAAAACTTGGCCGTTCTCCTATCCATCACCCGGAGATGCGCTCAGTTGCCACTCAATCGCTGAGATGCAAATAGTAATAATAAGGGAGTAAAAATAGACTCTTACAATAATAGTTAGATTAATAAGTATATTAATAAGTAGATTAATAAGTAGATTAATAAGTAGATTAATAAGTAGATTATTAAGTAGATTATTAAGTAGATTAATAAGTAGATTAATAAGTAGATTAATAAGTAGATTAATAAGTAGATTAATAAGTAGATTAATAAGTAGATTAATAAGTAGATTAATAAGTAGATTAATAAGTAGATTAATAAGTAGATTAATAAGTAGATTAATAAGTAGATTAATAAGTAGATTAATAAGTAGATTAATAAGTAGATTAATAGGTAGATTAATAAGTAGATTAATAAGTAGATTAATAAGTAGATTAATAAGTAGATTAATAAGTAGATTAATAAGTAGATTAATAAGTAGATTAATAAGTAGATTAATAAGTAGATTAATAAGTAGATTAATGAGTAGATTAATAAGTAGATTAATAAGTAGATTAATAAGTAGATTAATAAGTAGATTCATAAGTTAGTTAATACATTCTGGCTTTTTCAATTCTTCTGAAACTTCAAATTGTTAACAAAACAAAAAGAAAAAACCGCGGCGTCTGGAAATCTCCCAGTTTCCCGGTGGGCCCATCCGCCACTGTTAGATGGATACATAATTTTAATTCGAAATGTATGAGGCATTTTGTTAAACACACTTTTATTCAATTAAGAAAACTTAACAGAGTTCAAACTTTTTAACAGTAAAAAATACAATATCAACAATAATAAATGGATTGAATTCATACCTTATTAGGACTTCACAAGAAAGTAGAACTATGGTAGAACTGATAAATTTATTCCGTATTTATTGTTAGTTGAACACAAGTGCTGTGTGAACTTAATACGTCTATAATCTGTGGTATGTACGAATGTATTTTTTAGGTCTTCGTTTTTTTGATATCACAAATGAACGAAACAGTCAATAAATTGATATGCCATGGAATGGAACCGACGTCTGACATAACGCAAATTAATAACTATTTGTTTTACTCTAAAGAAGCGATGGAAATTGGACGAGTAGAAATGGCACAAAGATATTTATTAGAAGTAAGATGAGATCCACAGATTTTTAAGAGAATAAATTTTGTATTGTTAAAATAGACTCTTTAAGCTATGAAGTCACGATATAGGCAATCAGCTTTGGTACTGCCACAAAAAAATGTGTTTTTAATTATGAACCTTATTCGCCTAGTACAGGGTATCTGATTAAGGGTTATTAACGGTCGTATCTCGGGATATCTTAAAGGGGATTAAAAAAAACACAAAAACATGTTGATTTTTATTTCAAGGTGGACACCTTTCTTTCATATCCTCAAATCGGGTGACATTTCTCTCCCCTCCGTCACTCTAAGCAATACAATTTAAAATAAAAAGTACTAAATCTGATGACATGATCGAGAAGGTAATTTTATGGGGAATTCAGCAATGTGACTATTCATTGCGTTACTTTTGGTTTTAACGCCCTCAAGCAGGAACTGTTATTTTTAATTTAGTTAACTTATTATGTAGTGCATTGAATAATAATAAAATTATCTTTACATCGAAGTATCTCACTTTACAATACGTAAGTTTTTAACCCGCTAGAGGGCGCTAAAATCAAAGGTAACGCAATGTGTGATACTTGGTACTTTCCCTAATTTAAACAATTATTAATTATAATTGGTTATTTTGTTTAATTTGGGGGCCTCCAAATAGCCCGAGGTCTTTCCGTATCACGGGCCCTGTAGACCCGTCAGGCACGGCACTGGTTCAGAATCGGTATTTCAGCTAAATTTGTCTAAGATTTTACCGCATAGATTATCTTAAAACAATAGTAGTTTGTGTAACAATAATGGATATTATGGCCATATCGCACGAAGACGAAGTTTGATCACGACGCTGTAGGCGGAATGCTCAAACGTCTGAGTTCGATACGGATAATCCACTTGAGTTGTACAGTATATTTTTCCTACGACCCACTAACGAAAATCGATTCGGTTACTAAAAAAAATAACTAATTTAAAAATAACATGACTGTTACTAATCTACATGTAAATTGGCGAAGACAAAATAGTTCAGTGCCATTTTCTCTTCTGTTTGTGAACCGAATTTCTTTTTTTAAATTTTGTTTAGTAGCTATTGACTAGATTTAGTGTTATCAATAAAAAAAATTGGAAATAGTATTTTTTTCAACCTTCGATATATGAAATCCATTGATCCACAATTATGAATTATGATTGACCAATAAAATTAGCTTATAGCGAACATGCACCCTTTAATTTAAAACCTGTATGGAAAATATTACATGGACGGATAGAAGTTTGTGAAAAACGAAACAAACAAATTACTTCCCCCCCCCCACTCCTCCAAACGATTTCAAACTGCCCAACTTCCCGCCACCCCTACTTATTCGCCCCTCACCCTAAGGCAGGTCGATATATAGAATCCCTAAACTTAGGAAAATGAACTTCGGGTATGACGAATTGGACTTTGAGATGAACAAAATTTCACCACCCAAAGGACAACAATATATGGGCTCATAACTGTTTGACAAATACTCATCCAGTTCAATGAAGGTTAATATTTAACTGTCATTCGTCAATTCCGTCATGCGTTTCACGGTAAAAGTGTAAACTTTGAAATTTAGTTTTTATGTCGCTAGAAAGTATCTGGCTTTTCAATTCTAATCAACTTTTCTTTATGAAAATTTTCGATTTTGTCAAAAATAAACGTACTTTACTTTTGAGCCAAATTCATATTTTTTGACAAACCTCGTATACGACTTGAAAAATTTGATATCTGATTAATGTATTTTAAGTTTTTGGTCATACAGGACTTTTTATCAGGAATAACTTTTTTTCCTAAAATTAATAATAAAAAAGTTTTCCATATGATTCCAACTTAGCCCAGACAACACACCAAATCCCAGAGATATCCACAGAATATATTTTGTGGATATCCAATATATCCACAGGATATCAGAAATATTCCGTAGAACTAATATAGATATCCAAATGTCCGTCTATATCCAGAATATAGAAGATATCCTATGGATATTCAGCAAAATATCTAATGAGTATCTCCAGACAATACAAGAAATCCCAGATATATCCATAGAATATATTTTGTGGATATCCAACCAAATGTCCGTCTATATCCCATGATATAGAAATTCAGATAAATAATTTATAATTATTTTTAGTAGAGGTTCATAAGTAACCACCAATGGTTATTGAATAACGTCGAAAGAAAATAGAGGTAAAAAATATTCCCAACAATCTGCCTTTGATTTTGCCTACTAAGGAGAAAATCATCCTTATTAGGAATCTTCAGCAATAAATGGAACTTCTCGACTTCAGTCTCTAATGAAGTCTGTTTGTGAAACAATGTCGATCAAACTCAATTACGGCGGGTTAAGCATGAGTAGATACGAAAGTGGTATCGCCATCTATACTTAGGAAGCAAAATCAAAAATTACATCTAGTAGATATCCACGATGGTTTGCGTCCGCGCTTAGACTTTGATATATTTATATTTATAGTGGATGTCCATGGGATATTGAATACACCTTAAAAAAAATTAATTTTAAATATCTCAACGGTACTATTAGCCACAATGGCGAGTACAATGGCGTAATTTTTTAATAATTTGCTATATAATTACAATTATTTATGGACATTTGCATGTCTATAAATTACATTTCATGGATATAAAATAGATATCCACCATGGACTGGACATTCAGTGGATATTGGGATGTTCAGTAGATATCCAAAGGATTTGGTGTGCTGTCTGGGAGGGGGACATACTGTATATAGAAGTCGTTAAATAAACATTTTTTTCAAATAAATTTTCAAAAAACTCAACAATAAAGATACAGAATTAAAAATCTCAATCTGGAATTGAACTTGTGTATGAAAAATTACGTTAAATAAAAAACCTGTTTAGTGTGAGAATTCGTTAATTGAAAATGAAGTGCCACGAAAAAAATCCAACAACTATGCGGGTGATTGCAGATCAAATGGAAGTAAGCATTCCAACTTAAAGATTTCACCCGCAGATAGTTTTGTTTTGCGAGTGGTTCTTACAACGACATGAGTGTGATCAGCATTTTTCGACAAAAGTTGTACACATTATTTAAGTTCGACAGTATCGTATTGGATATATTTGGAATACGAGTATATTAATGTAAGTTTCTAATTTTTGAATTTTTTGAAACTTAGGATTCACCGTGTGTAATTTTAACATGTTCAGAGATTACATATTCCGGTTATTAATATAAAATACTAAAATAAATCAACACTATTTTTCTTTGGTCTCATGCACAAGGTGAATAACGGTCTGTTTAATAGGGAGAAGTATTTCTATGACAGTAATAATACTGTTTACCTATATTGTGTCATATTAATCGTGTCTTTAGTTGAATACGGAAATAATAGGCAGTAATGGAATGTACCGTTTGAAAAAGTACTGTCATCTGTCAGTGCCTTATGAGGTTCGGTATTTAAGGAGTAAGAGGACATTTTTCAGTGGCGGTTAAATATGCATATGGCAACTCTACTAACATTCTTCTCATAATCCTGACATTCTAGTACTACGTATTATTTCCGGATTCCTTTATTTGTCATCAATAAAACAATATAGATGAATTTGAATACCTACTCCATTTTCATCAGTTCTGAAATAATCACAGTATTTCGGTCGTCAGCTCTTTCTCTGATCGGAATTATAATGTAGTTGTACTACCTACCTGCCTACCTACCTTGTTTTAGAGAATTTGTCATGATACTGAGAATGCTGATTATTGGTTCGATTATGGAATATTCTTGCTTCGAAATAAGGAAGACGATAAGGCGTTTGAATCTTTTAAAGAAGCATTGACCAAGAATGCGAACCATAAATATTGGTAAAGGTTAAGCCATTTCATTTGCATATTTTTTAATAAATCCTTCCACTTTGGTACTCTAGTAGATACATATCATGTTTATAAAATTAACTCAGATGAGCTCTGTTCTAATTTAAGTACTTCGTTTTTTTGCAGTTTGTTGATCCTCGGTATACTTTTATGCGAAAAAAGTCAAATTGACGATGCAGAAACTTGTCTCTTGGTTTTGATGAACAAAGAATTCAGTTGGCTGGAAGGTATATACACGCTCATTTTTTTACAACTTAATCAACTCTTAAACGAAGCCTTTGGTGCAAAACGTTGTTAACTCAAAAAATAATGTTTTGAGAAAAATTGATTTGACTTTAAACGATTGAAACTTTTTACCCAAAAACAATTTACCTATTCCGATTAATTTGAATGAATTTAAAAAAATGTCTATGCCTCAAAATTTTTTTTAATATAATTTTTGTCTAAGCAAATATAAAGTTTTGTAAAATTTTGAATTAACACCCTTCTTAAAATTATTATTTATTGTTTAAATACAGACACAGAGCCAAAAATGTATCCTAGGTTAGGTTAGGTTAGGTTAGGTTGGGTTAAAAATGAGTGAGATGATCTCAAAGCCTTCCACTGCGACCCAGATGGATCTATTGTGGCTCATGACTAACTTATAGTTCACCGTACAAGGCACACCTTTTGATGAAGGCCATGGTCACATTGGGTGAGACTTGTTTGTGTTCTGCAGATTCGTCTTCGACGCTGCAGAATCGTGTTATCTAAGTAAACTCTTTATTTTATTTAAAACAATTTATAAATGTATGAGCAAATGTACAGAAGCAAATATTACCTCTTCTTAAATTATTGTAGAATCTCTTAAAATTTTCGGAAATAAAAGGGATTTGCTCCTGAGTATTACCAATTTTTTTTGGGTAGAATAACCTGACTTTTATCAATGTTCATTAGCATCGAATCATCTATATTTTAGGATCTATTTATCTTTTTGTTTTTTTCAAATCAAAGATGGTCCATTCTTCTGCTTTGTCAAATGAGTATCTGTATTTCTTTTTCCCAGACTCATCAATTTGCATCCATATGAATTCTCCTATCCATTAGTCCTAATTTTCTTGGCAATTCTTTGAGGTCTACAAATTTTTGTGCCATGTTTTTAATATTAAAACGTATTTTTTGTCTTGCTTCGGTCATGATGTATACTGATCTGTTTCCGTATTGATTTCTCTACAGCAGCAAAATCTCTATCAGAGTCCATGAAGATGTGTCCTACCTCGGGAAATTTGATCAATTTTCTTGAATACAGCAAAGCCTATCAAATAGTTCTCTAAGCAAACAATATAAACATTTTTATTCTGGCCTGCTGCCGAATCACTCCACCCATGCTAGGCTGCAGTTCAGATATGAAAATAGCCTTTACCATTTTAGTGTTTTGTAGGCATCAAATTAATCCCAAAATTATAAAGCCATAATTAAAAAGCCTTACTAGTTAAGATTTTTGGCAAGGGAAGCGTTTTCTGTAGATGAACTGCGGAGTTGACACTTTATTGCATATAATTTACGAATTAACACGTTTTTGCACAAATAAAATATAAATTGTAAGCAGATGACACTTTTCTGATTTATAGTACCGACGAAATGACTGCCATCTAGCGCCTGGGGATTTACTACTGGCTTAAGAACCAAGTTAGATTAGATTAAATCTAAGTAGGACTGTGGACCATGGGGCCTCCCACACCTCGACCTTTTCAGATATATCGTGGATATCCTTTAATCGTTGTTTAGAGTACCTTGTCTAATTCGGTCTTTTGTAGTTGCCCTTGGTTTTTCTTCTCCAAGTGCAAGGAATCTCAGTCTTGCTAGACCTTCGCAGTAGCACAATACGTGTTCTGCCGTTTCTTCCTCTTCCTGAATCGGCACAAGGTCTCTTCTGTTAGACCGATATTATACACATGTTTGTTAAGCCTACAATGCCCTGTTATTAGATCTACTAGTACTCTAGTATTTTCCTATTAAGGCTTAGTAGATGCTCAGTGAGTTTAGGCGATGGGGCTTTTAAGAACCCTTTGGCCTATCTCTGTTCTGGTGAGTTATTCCAACACTCCTGAGATTTTTTAAACATCCACTGTTTTGTGCATGTTCTGATGTCTTTGTGACACAACAGAAGGATTCTGGGCTAATAAGAGCCTTCGAAGCTCCTTCTCGGGCTAGTAAATCAGCCTCTTTGTTGATCTTATGTCCTCTATGGCCTGGTACCCAGGCTAAGGTTGGTCTTTTTTGACTACCCAGCTCTGTTAGGGCTTCCAAACAAGCTTTGAGTGTACCTGCATAGAACTGAGTGATTTTAACGTCGCTTGACTGAGTGTATGACAACGGTTTTTCCATTTACCTTCTGTCTTAATACCTCTTTTGCGCAGTGATGTATTGCTGCTATTTCTGCCCGGAATACTATCGCATGTTTAGCTAAGCTCAGTGAGATTCTTGTCTTTGGCATGGTACTTACTATACCTACTCCTGAACCTTCATGCGTTTTGGAGCCGTCTGTATACCAGGTGAATTCTGCATTAATAGGTCCTGTCCACGCTTCCCGGTCTGGCATACTTACTTTATATTGATTTTGGAAGCTATATTTTGGGAGTATTTCGTCTGAAGGCATTCCCGTTAATTGGTCGTTCTACAACTCTTTATACAGCTTGCTGTAGTCGCGGCCATGCAAACTGCTTATGGGTGATGAACTTTTGTGCAGTCTGTGACAGACCTGGCTTCGCCTTGAATGAATATATGTAGTGGGGTTAGGTTTAGCATGACTTCTATAGCTGCTATTGGATTTGTTCTCATGGCTCCCGTGGTACTCAAGCATTCTTACCTTTGAATACCATTGAGCTGTCGAATGTCTTCAGCTTGCCGAGTCTTTGGCCACCATACCACCAACCCGTAGGTTATCATCGGCCTTATAACTGGTATATAACCATGACATTTTTGGTTGTAGTCCCCAATTTTTTTTACACAACTTAGTTCCTCCTCTCTGCATCACTCGTCAACAATGTTTAGAACGGTTTGTATGCGCTCCGATATTGTACCTGCGAACTTTTTCCTTCCGACGATCGCCAGGCAGTAGAAATCTGCAGATATTAGCCTTTTTTATGAGTTCGTCCAACTGAGTTAACATCTTGTTGCAATAAAAATATAAAAATACTAAAAAAGTTAACACCTTTTTACATCAAAGGCTTCAGACACCTTAGATCTTAAACAGCCAAATAACCTTAAATATTCCAAGCTGGTTTGGAAATACCTTGAGGTACTGACATTCAAGGAAATTTAAAGGCCAATGAACTCTCTAAAAAGCGATCGTTCAGAGGCTGGACCTGAGTTTGGAATAAGCGAAACCTCTACATGGGAGGAAGATAATTGGTGGATAACCACAGATTACCAAACTCACTGGAAAGAAATTAGAAGACGCGAAGTCAGTAATCATTCTAAAGAGGCCTCTTACTGAAACATGATGATTTCACTTCGTGTAGAAGAGAAAAAAAGGTCATATTACATTTACTTTAAATGTGAAAAATGTAAAGCTTAGCTATGAGAGGACACAACTTTTTAGATCTAGAACCGGAATACTTGCCAAAGATACAGGATTATTCAGAAATAGTATCTTAACACTGGGAAATCAGAGAAATATAATGTCTCCAAAAGGCTACTCATACTAAGGATATTTTTTCAACAGGTTTATAGTTAAAATAGAAGCGGCGTCACTTTCAGAAATATCTCGAAACTCATCCCGTCATTTTTAGGATGGGGAGTACTTTATTTATTTTACCTCAAATGCGACAATTTCGAAGGCATGGATATGGCCATGGACATGGCGAAAAAACATTCGGGTAGGTCTCCTCATGAGCAAGACGAATTCATGGAAGCTGATGAATTGGTTTGGACTAAAGCGATCTGTCCGGGTACTATTTTCTTTCGAACAGCGGTTCTTTTGTTGAAATGTAGACTTTATGAGGTGAGTACGATCGCGTATCTTAGTCAAAACGTCAAAAATTTCTAATGACAGATAGATAGCTAGGTAATCGATCAAATTTTAAGGACTCGTGGTGTACCTACTCCAAATTAAAAGATATTTTGCTTATATACGTTTTCGGTACGTCACTTACATCAAATGGGGTAACTTTGGACAATGCCGGTAATTTTGGAGTAAGGAGTAAGTTCTCATAGTGAGAAACTGAACATGTTTGGTATGGTAAATAGTTTCAATCAAATTGTAAACCCATTATTGTTGTGTCATAATTTTGTAATAAAGTTTATAAACAAACTAGAATGGAGATATATAATGCTTGACATTCTATATTATACTTTTCACAGTTTAACAGACCCCGCCCCCATTAACCCCTCATTTTTATCTTTTTTCAGAATGAATAGTCTTCATCCCCTTAGAAACCTTGATTTTTTTCTAAAGATATGTTGATATTGCTTTTGATAGTGATTCCTATTTTTTATTTCATCCCTTCTTAAGGGTTAATCCAAGGGCACTATATCTAGGAGGATATCAAATAGAAGAGGGAGACTTACCTAACTTGAAGCCACTTCAAATCCTACACTTCCTTGAGAAAATAGGATTGGAAGGGTCGCTATAGGCATTGAGACATTTCCTTAGTGCAGTGGCGACAGAAGGGGGCACAATAGATCTTTTAGGTCGCAGTGTATTAACACCCCATTATCAACATACAAGGGTTAATCCTTCATTTTGTCCCCATATAGAGCTTGATGTTTGCTAAAAATTTCAAGTTGATATTGTTTTTCGTTTTTGATTTTTTAGAATATTTTAACCCCACTTAACCCCTCATTTTTATTTTTTTCAACAATAGGCTTCATCCCCTTATAAAGCTTGATTTTTCTTGAAGATTTCAATTTGATATCGTTTTTTGTGTCTGAATTTTATTAGGATTTTTTTTTCAATATTTAAACTAGGGGTGGGAAAAACAATCAATTTATCGATTTTCAATTAATCGATTATTTTAGATTAATCGATTATTTTCAATTGATCGATTATTTTAGATTAATCGATTATTTTTTATTTATCGATTATTTTCGATGAATCGATTACTTTCGACTATTCAATTATTTCCGATTACTTAATCGATTATTTTCGACAGTTGATTAATTTCAATTAATCCATTAATTTCGATCAATCGATTATTTTCGATATTTCGATTATTTTCGATATATCGATTATTTTCGATTAATCGATTATTTTAAATTATTCGATTAATTTCGATTAATCGACTATTATTGATTAATAGATTATTTTCGATTATCTGAATAATCGATTATTTATTTTGATAATCGCCCACCTAACTTCAACCCCCCTTATTCAGTGATATCTCTTTTCGTTTTTGAGTTAAGATTTTTTTAAATATTTCAATCCTTCTCAACCCCCCATTTTAATTCAAATTTTTTAAAATCGATAGGCTTCATCTTCATATAGAGCATGATTTTTACTAAAAATTCCATGTTGATATTCCTTTTCGTTTTTGTATTTTGTTTTTTTTTTTTAATTTCAACCCCCGTAACACCCATTTTTAATTAGATTTTTTCAAAAGCAATAGACTTTGTCCCCATATAGAGCTTGATTTTTGCTAAAATTTCAAGTTGATATAATTTTTAGTTTTTGAGTTTTTAGTTGTTTTTACTATTTCTACTTCTCTTCAACCCCCTTATTTTTATTCAGATTTTTTTGCAATTCAATATATTTTCCGTTATTCACAAGAGTCTCTTCTCATCTCTCTCATGTGCAAATATAATTAAGCCTCTCATCTTTATTTTAAAGGATCCATGGCTTAACATATTGTATACTTTTTACATAAAATAAAAACCGTTTTATTTTTGGTGTCCGAATTTATTAAATGCAAGAGGTTACTTTGATTTACGTGCAATTTAGACGAAGTCCCGAGTTACCCCACCTGAGCGGGGAAATTCGGACACTGTTTAAATAAAAAAATGCTTGCCTTTTATTTTAAAACTTTTTTGTATAACACATAGACATAATAGTAACATTGAAAAAAATATAAATTAATTTTTATCTGATTTTTTGACCTCCCACTTTTCCCCATCCGGAAAAATTTCAAATTCGTCCGAAGTTACCCCAACTGACTACTGCTTATGATCTCGTCGAAATTGTCAAACACAGAATATTTTTAAGTTGTCTATTTTATATTTTGCCACTATTTTTAAGTTGTCTACCTTCTATATTTTGCCACTATTTTTAAGTTGTCTATTACCTTTTATATTTTGCTACATTTTTAAATTTTTAGTGGTGCGAATTAGCCCTGTCGCAAGAAGTAAACAATAATTCTGGCTTAGTTCAATACTTGCTCTCCGTTATTTGTTACTACAAGAAATTGTACGATCACGCATTGGACCACATCGAGGAAACTAAAAGAATCTACGGACCGGTCAGTAAAGATTTTTAAAATTACCTATAGGGTGTTTCACAATTTTTTAGACAATGTTTAACTTTGAAACGGCATAATTAAATTATTGAAGATCATGAAAAAAAATATTTACAAACTGACGTCATCTGTCAATGTCGATGAATGTTTAGACTTAGAACATAGGGCCATTCGCACCGCTAGTAGTTAAGAAATAAGCGAAGCTTAAAATGACATCAATGGAAAAATGTCATTTTAAGCTTGGCGTATTTCTTAACTACTAGCGGTGCGAATGGCACTTAGAGCATTACGGTCGAAAAGGAAAAGGTGAACAATTATTGTTTTTTTGTTATTAAAACGTCTCACTTCTTGCGGTATTGCCCTTGGGACGGGTTGTATAAACAATGCTGTGAACCTGGTTTAGCCAGTACGAGTTTAATTTTTAACTGGTTATGGTCCTTTTGCACCGATAGTCGTTAAGAAATAAGCCAAGTTTAAACTGACTTTTTTCCATTGACAATGTCACTTTAAGCTTCGCTATTTCTTAACGACCAGTGGTGCAAATGGCCCTAAATTCAATATGCAAATGTCATTTTATAACTATGTTTAATAATAACCGATTAAGGGGAAGGAATATAAAAAATAGTTTTAATGCTGAACAACATATTTGGGTTATTGTTTTATCACTCATACATTTGGATGAGCTTATGAAAACTATTTTCGAAATATCGAAATAACGCAGATCGTACTTCTGAACAAATCTTTCAATCTAGGGATGAGATCCCTTTTTAAAGGCTATCTAGTTAATTGTTTATATAATCATTGGAGGTTGGAGCTTATCCTAAACCACTTGCTCTAAGTTTCTGAGTCAAAATATTTTGGTTTTTCTTATACTACAACTATGCCTTCTCTAGGACATCGTACTCCTGTAATTACACAAACAAGATAATTCACTTTTTTCCCCGAGTTACATATTAATAAAATAATTCATTTTTAGGATTACGCTGTCGCCAGTCTGGCGGGACATTGTTTTTTGGCTCTGGACAGGAAACAGGAAGCCAAAGAACAGTATTACTGGGCTTTGGAATTCTTTAACAGACCCGTCAGCATGCATTTGGTCAGCATTCAACTGGCGAACATTTTAAACGAATTCGGTGAAATACAGGAAGCTAGAAAATTGGCTTTGATCAGCTGCAAATACAATCCAACTCCGTATACTTGGATGTTGGCCGGAAAATTTTATCTTCAGGTAATTATTTTAAATTAAATAAATTAGCTACCTGGTATACATATATACTTTATGAATCATATAGGGGGTGTTTTTGAAATATATAATTAATATTTGAACTTTCCTTGCACAAAAATATTTTTTAAAATTCCTGTTAATAAAGGGCTTTTATTAAGTTTTTAAAACTACTTTTGATAGAGAGGTGGCATATTTCGAATAGTTTATTTTTGGTGCCTTGGCATTTATGGGGCCTTAATATTATATTTGTACATACGAAAACAATCTTACGCCCATTTTTTCTGATCATTCTAAATCCAAAAAGTCAAAATATTTCGTCTATGCGCATCTATGTCGTCGCGATAACTCTAGAACGAAAGACCCGATCGACTTGCGGATTTGATTTTCTTGAATAATTTCTTCTAGATACTTTAAATATCAATGTTTTTAAAATCCAATGCATTTGTAGTTTAAAGGTATGCAATCAAATTATTTTTAACGGTACAATGTTAATGAATACTTATAACCTTTTTTTTTAGTCAGTCATTGCAACATAAATTACGTCATCACTAATATAGCGTATTAGGATCAAAAATATTATTATTTTTACATGAAGTAGGTAACTATTTTTGTATGGACAGGTCTACAGTGTAAAGGGGCCAAATCTTTTAACTTAAACTTAAGGATTAAAGAAAAGGGTTCAAATATTTTTATATTGGTAAGCTTAGGGGTAAAGGATCCAAAAGTTTTTATATGGAACAGGCTTAAGGGATAAAGGCCCCAAATATTTTTATATAGGTAGGAGCCCAGACAACACAACAAATCCCAGAGATATCCACAGAATATCTTTTGTGAATATCCAATATATCCACAGGATATCAGAAATATCCCGTGGATCTAATATGGATGTCGAAATGTCCGTCTATATCCAGAACATAGAAGATATCCTATGGATATCCTGCAAAATATCCAATGGGTATCTCCCAGACAATACAAGAAATCCCAGAGATATCCACAGAATATATTTTGTGGATATCCAATATATCCATTGGATCTAATATATGGATATCCAAATGTGCGTCTATATCCCAGGATATAGAAGATATTCTATGGATATTCAGCAAAATATTTTATGGCTATCTTTAGTAGGAGGTTCATAAGTAACCAATGATTATTGAATAACGTTGATAGAAAATAGCAGAGAGAAAATATTTTCAACACTCTGCCTTTGATTTTGCCCACTAAGGAGAAAGTCATCCTTATTAGGACTCTTCAGCAATCAGTCTCTAATGGAGTCTGTTTGCAATACCAATTTCGATCGAACTCAATTACGGCGGGTTGAGCATGAGTAGATATTCAACGAGCGAAAGTGGTATCGTCATCTATACTTAGTAAGCTCCGTTCTACAGAATTTGTTTGTATAGTAGGCCTGAGGATGGGCCAAACTAGTCACTATACACTCAGTAAATATTTTAAAATTATGGTACACACTTTTTTCTTTCCTATCTGTATACAGATATAAGGAAAGTATAGGAATAATGATTTTTTTCGACCTCCAGTTTTCGACGGATTTCTACGTTTTGGGGTCTCCTGAATCCGTTTTGACTATTTTCGGTATGATGTCTGTATCCATCATAACTCATGAACCGATACAAAGAAAAACACCAATTTTAAACTTAAGCTTTATTCCGTCGTCCAATGAACTGATTAGATTTTGGGCAGAGTCGGAACATCTTCAAATTCTTCAAATAAAATTTACTTGCAATATTATTATTATTTTTTGTTCTATACAAAAAGTATTCGAGAAATTTGACAAAATGTAAAAATTTTTTTTATAAAAATTGTTCAAATAATGTAATATAATTTTTATCCTATACACAATTTCTCTAAAATGGACCGTATTCGAGATATTTGAGAAAATGTGTAAATTTCGAATTTTGAAGAAAACTCAAAAACGGATAAAGGAAAAAACATTAGATTATAAACTTAAGTTTTATTTCGGCCTGACGTGAAATGATTAGATTTTGGACAAAGTCGGAACACCTGGGAGGGGGTACTTTATGGGAGGCCGTTTTATATTTTATGGAATATATCTGTTATTTATGTTTGGAGAAGAAAATTGTTCAAATAAATGTTACTTCTAATATTATTATCTATAATTTTTGTTTTATGTCAAATTTTCCTGAAATGGTCCGTATTCGAGAAATTTGACAAAATGTGCAAAATTCTGATTTTTAAGAAAATTGTTAAACTAAAAGTTGTTTGCAATATCGATGTCTATAATTTTTGTTTTTTTGCATGATTTTTCTAAAATGGACCGTAATGGAAAAATTGGAGGAAAAGTGCTACATTTAAATTTTTCAGTATTTTCGTTTTCAATGAATATTTATAGAGGTACTGCATTAGGTTGTAGAAAATAACCGGAAAAGCCTATAATAACTAGATAGGAAAGTCATGTGTTGGACACATCAGATTTTTTTTATTATTCTTGTGGATTCTGTACTTGATGTTATCTACTTAATTTAGGGATACAAAGATCAAATAAAGTTCAAAAACTATGTAATTTAATCATAAACAAAATGCACTCAAAAAAATTAACTATCTATTATTATCACTGTCAACTTTGTTGGGCATAAAAAGTTATCTTTTAATTTTAAAATTATGACAAATCCTTTCAGTTATTATTATTACTACGGTATAGATAGTCTGTTTCTGCTGTTCTTTCAGAAAAAAAATATATAAATGAATACCTTCATGATGAGCTTTATAGGACTTCGGTTCTCAGCTCATGTCAGTGAATAATAATAATAATGATGATAGGTATATCGCATTCATAATGATGTATTATCTACTTGGATTTTATTTGTAAAATAATACTACGATTTTCTCTTATAGCAAAACGACTTGCTTAGTGCAGAAGATTGTTTTTCTGAAGGCAACTGCATAGATAACAGATTTGCAGAAATATGGGGATATTTAGCACTGGTAAACGCAAAATTAAAAAGAGCAAGCGAGGCAGAAATTTGCTACAATCAGGCCTTACGGGTAAACGAATCATTAGAGTATTTATCATATTATGAAAGTAATTTTTTCTATTTTTTAGAATAAATTAGATCAGCAAGATCTAATAACTGCGATCCTAGATGAAGTGGGCACTCTATCCAAAGAAGATTTTTTACACGTGTATTAATTTTATTTATATTATACAAAGTTGAAACAAATTAAACATAATGTCGAAAAACAATCACTTTATTAGTTTGAAACAATAATCACTAAACATGTATAAATAAATGCTATTTAAATATAATATATAAGTATATATATATATAAAGCTCGATAAATTTCATAAATAATTTTTTTAAATCTATTAGTAAACAAGTAGTAGTGGCTTGTAACCAAAATATTGGGGGTTTACAATGACAGAATAAAGATCTCATTACAGATTTAGGTAAAACACTTTTAGTGTTTATAATATACTTTTCTACAACACTAAAACATTTTTACCTAAATCTGTACGAATATCTATATTCTGTCATTGTGAACCTCCAATATTTTGGTAACGGCCGCCACTGTAAACAAGGTTAACCTTCGTCATACGGTGGACGATACATACGTACCCCAGCCACAATTTTCAGGCTATTTTCGAAAAATTCCATTTTCTGCTTTGCAAATTTAATTTATTGTCAATTAGCACCTTCTTATATATTTTTTCTTATATATTTCGCTGTTATGCGATTGGAAAAAAGATATAAAATGTGCTGCTAGTACAATTGTTTTGTGTGTTTTCCACTCTGAAAAACAAATTACTTGTGAAAAATATTAGAATACTAAAGAATAGACTTGATTTGTTTTAATATTTTTTTTTAATTTTTTTAGAATAACCATTATTCCTCATTTCTGGTAAATATTAGTCTAACAAATATATTTTCTGTATTGACTTTTTTTTAATAAACATATAGTAAAATTAGGAAGGCAAAAAGCTGCATTTATACTTGGGATACATATCTACCCCGTACCGTATTAGGTGTAATTTTTTATCACCTTACGACGAAGGTTAATAAATAATTGAAACTAAGTTTCATAAATATTTTTTTTAATTTATTAGTTAACAAGGTTAATAAATAATTTTAAGTCACATTTTTTAAAAATCACAATTTTTTGTTAGAATTAAAACTTTTTAATACAATGGCCGAATTCATATGACAGAATTTGAACTTGATATACTGGACGATACATTTCTTGAAACATATATTGCAATAGATTAAAGTAAAAACATCGATTTTCTTTAAAAGTTTACAAATAAAATATATACTATAAAATTAGGCCTATATTATAAAAATTTAATTTTTCTAAGTTAGATATTTTTATATACATTTTATTTCTTTAAGTCTTATTTTTCAGAACAGCCCCGTGTGCAATACTAGTGTTGAGCTACTCAAAGCAATGAATAATGATACAAAAACAATAAAAATGCATTAAATAAGTTATATTGCAATTGAGCAATGTAAAGTCAAAACTATTTCTAAGCTAAAGACGGGTAGGAATATTCTATATAATGGGATTTTAATTATTTCCCTAGATAATGATTCAAATGTTATTGAATGTTGAATTATGCATAAGTAGATGATTCAAAATTTAATTTAATTGCAAATCAAACAAAGTTTTTTAAAATAATGTTTACCAACTGTCATGAAAAAAGTAGGATCACCCTTGCTTATTATCAAGGAATAAATGGAAAAATAATCAGAAATTTGGCAATCTAAAATTCAAATCATCATGATATATATAAAAAAATGCAGTTATTACTTTGGTCCAAAAAGTTTGTTGATGGATAAAGTTTTTATACAATATCAAAAATTTAAGAAATTCACTAAATCAGTTTAGTCTATTAAGGTGACACTCCAAGTTGTTCATACCAATAGATGACACCCCATATTCAATCATGATTTATAAGAACTGCAAACGCATTTTAGTATTTTGTGAATCGTGGCAAGATTGTTTCATTATTATGTGATTGTGGTAGAATGCAAAGCATCAGTTCTCTTGAATGTTAAAAAAACACGAGGTTTTTTGTGATTTCTTAATCAGTTTACTAAGAAGGTAAGTGGCAAAATATTTTAAGTAAAATCTTTATATTTCTAGAACATTTTTCTTTACTGTAGATGTGAGATATATGACAGTATTTTGTTTTTTTAATGATTTTAAAGTAGTTGCCATGCAGAAAACTCTTCAGCGTCGGCGTCAGCCATTGGTCTGGCAAGTTGCTTTAAACCAAAGGCTAACACTTGGGTCATGCATTGGATTTAGCAAGTTTTTTTTAGATTAGATATATGTTATATCATTGTTATATGTTGGGAAAATGTACTGTGCAAACAGGTATTTGTTGTAACACAGTAGGGTGTCAGGTATTATCGAGGGTGTAAGATTGTATTTTAATGCCTTTTGACCTTTTCTTAGATGCCAGGACAAGACAAAAAATTCTGAAACACTCCAGAAGCAATGCTTGATGCTTTAAATGAGGTTAGGACAGAAAAATCTGTTAAATCGGTAACTAAAAAATATAAAATACCCAGAACTACTTTAATGTATAAATTAAGTGGGAAGATGCCAATAAGAAAAAAAAAAGGGACCAAAAAGTATTTTCCCCCTGAGCAAGAAGAAATTCTGGTAGATTGGGTATTAAAAATGGCAAAAAGCTGGTTTTCCAGTAACAAAAAATAGTTTTATGATAACTGTTTCAAGGTTGGCACAGAAACAAGGTTTAAAAAAAGCTCCAGGCGCCAAATGGTATTTAACGCCGATGAAACAACATTTTATCTGAGTCCCAAGGGTGGAAAAGTATTAGCTGAAAAAGGCAGCAAGTCTGTTTACCTTGCTGGTGCAAATGACGAAAAAGAAAACGTGACTGCAAATGCCGCTGGCCAGATCGCACCTTCTATGATTGTCTACCTACCAGTATAAAGGAATTCCACTATAAATTGCACAAGCTGTGCCAGAAGACTGGGCAATAGGTGGATCAGAAAAAGGGTGGATGACCCAAGAACTGTTTTATAAAAACACTGTAAATTTTTTTTTCTGTGGCTTCAACAAAAAAAGATCCAGCTACCTGCAGTCTACTTTGTCGACGGACATGGATCACACATTTCCTTGCACTAATCAAATTTTTGTATTGAACATGGGATTGGGTTGATTGCATTGTACACTAATGCAACACATTTGATAGAGCCCATGGAACTAGCTGTTTTTCACAGTGTTAAATCAGAATGGAAACTTCAAGTTCAAAATTGGAGAAAGTCCCACATGGGAGAAGAACCAAAAAAGAAATACTTTCCTCCGCTTCTTCACAACACCATTTAAAATATCGAGCCTTCAATAATATCAAATGGTTTTAGAAAATGTGGGCTAGTCCCTTGGAATCCTGATGCTGTGACAATTCCATTAGTCCATACACCAAATCCTAAATTTACTACAAATCCAAATTTGGATGACATTAAAACATTTTTAGTTTTCCTGGAAAATAAAATAGGACACCAAAAATTACTGGAATTTAAAAAAATACTGGAGAATGGAAAGAGCCAAAGGATAATACATCCCTTTACAAGATTTGGAAGAAAAATAGCACTCTGGTTAAAAAAATACTTATATGGATATTATTTTCATAATCTTAATTATTTTTTAGGCTGCCACAGGATAGAAATGAAGAAGCAGAAAATTTAAATGAGGACCGTCCGGGACCCTCTGGAAAGCAATCTGAATCTGATCAAGGAACTCTGGAAGAAATGACAGAAAACGTAACATGTTTGTTTTAAAATGCCATAATTCTAAATGTCTAATATATTTTTAGTTACCACCCTTTGAAAATAATCACGAAAGAGACAAACCAGAGAACATTCCGGAAACTGAGTACATAGATGATTCAACGCTAGAAGAAGAAGAAAAACTAGAGTCATCAGAAACTGAAATAACGAAGGTCATCCCTCATTTGACACCTCCAAAAAATCAACTTGCAAGTGTTGAGAACCAAAAACCTGCAAGTACCAAAAAGTCTGATCCCACTATTCCATCTCCATTCAAGAGAATACTTTTTTGGCCAGAAGAAAAACCCCCATCTAACAAAAAAGTTAAAAGGGAAAAGATACCTTCAGTAATAACATCAGCTTAGGCTCTCACATATTTAAAAAAAAAGAGGAAATAAAACAGAAGAAGCTGGAAGAGCAAACCAAAAGAAAAAAAGACAGATCAAGAAAAAACCAAGAGGAATTAGAAATAAAGAGAAGCAAGTTGGAAGAAACAAAGAAAAGTTGAAGATCAGAAAACGAACAAAAGAAAGGAAATCAAAAAATCCAAAATAGAAGAAGATAGTGAATCTTCAACAGCAGTCGCTTTCAATAAGTAGTAGCGAGTCTTCACAGTGGGATGAAGATTTTGAAGAGGAAGTCAATGATATTTCAATTGGGCTAGTTTCTCTTGAAGCTATTGTTGAAGGCGACTTCATACTATGCGAATTTATTGAAGGAAAACGAAACCAAACAAAGTTTGTTTATTTATGTGTTGTACAAGAGTGATTTTGTGCAGGTGATGGGACTCAAATCAACTGACAAAGATAAAAAACAGTTTGTACCAAATGAAAATGATATTTCCTGTTGCCATTGACCAAGTGATTGGCAAAGTGCCTCAACCAGAAATTTTGAGTAGAGAAGAGAGAATAAGTTACCTCTTTAAAAAGTCATTACCAATCAAAGAAATTTAAGATTATTTCAGCACTAGGCTAATGTTTTCTTTTCACAGCTATTAGTGTTAATTATTTTAAGAATACTTGTGTTTTTTTTTTACCAAATAAAATATAAATTCAATATGTCATCTTTTGGTAAAGTTGCTATGTCAACTATTGGCACATATTCATTTATGGGTGTCATCTATGGGTGCCTATGTTACATATTTTTTTACAATATTTTTTAATTTTAACTCAAGTTTGAATTGTTACTTCTCTTAAGCAAGATTCAATCTAAACATTTATAAGCAAATTTGTAAATTTGGTGTCAGAATGTATAAAATATGATTTTTTCTCATTTGCTTCCCTTAAGACTGTCATCTATTGGTAATTTTACTTTATAGGAGTTAAAACAAAGCTGCAGTTTTTTGTTATAACAAATAACACAGGTAACTTTGATGAAATGCAGGACAATGCACCCATTGTTGAAATAAATAACCGTTGACAGTCCTGCTGTGTTGATTGTTGATTAAAATTTGTATTGTTTGGTTAAATCAACTTATTTTGAATCCATTAATCTATGGTATATGCAATTTCCAAACACCTAATAGAGAGCCTGCTTCCAGATCCATTGTTAAAACAAAAAACTGACTAAAAAGCTATTCCAAATAAAATTTCAAGATTTGCATAAATATGTATACATAATTTGCTAACTAATAATAAGCTAAGAGCTAATAGCAGTATAATTTTCTAACTAACGATGAGCTAATAGCAAAAAAATATATTAAAATCCATTCTTCTTTAAACAAAAATTATAATTTCATAAAAAAATTAAAACATTGTTTAACAGAAAAAGAAAAATGAATTCGTTTATTAAAACATAGGATTATAAAAATATAACCTATCAAAGAACATCTTTCCTTTGTCTATAAAAATATCTTGACTGCTATGGTTTTAGTAAAATTCCCTTGTGTCATCCTTTTGTTTCTTCAGTCTGTTGAATGTCTTTATTATCTTTTACCTCATTTCTATCATCATTCCTGCCTTCTTCTTTAAATCGTACAGTGCGCTTCTTATTTTTACTTTCTAGTGAAGAAGTAACTACAAGATTTTCTTCTATAACAACTTTTTCTTCTTCAACGGAACTCTCGGTATCCTCCAATTGCTCTTCAGCATAATCTTGCAGCTCACTTTCTTCACTGTGTTCTTGATTGTCTTCTTGCTGATCTTGCAATTTAGTTTCAATAACATTCTTATTTACAGAAGCCTCTCTAGATGCATCAATATCCCAGTTTTCTTCTGAAGCAACATTATTATCACCTTCTGATTCTGTATGAGGGGTATTATACTGTTGACCCTTTAAACTACCCCTTCTATTACCCCTTCCAACTCCTCTGCCTCTTACTCTATTTCTAGGTTCCCTGTTTTCCTCTGCAACAATCTCATTACTCCCGGTTTGTAATTCTGTATTGGGAGTGTTATATTGATGGCCTCCTCTACCCCTTCTATTTCCCCTCCCAGTTCCTCTACCTCTAAACTTATTTCTAAAATCGTTGTCTTTTATTTGGCTTTCCCATTCTGTACTCCTGTTGTCCCCTCTACCCCTACCTCTGTAATTCCCTCTACCTCTGCCACCTGAGGTGTCACCTCTAGCTTCAACACTTTTGCTTCTAACTTGGCTTCCTCTATTTTCATAAAACCCATCATGTCTTCTTTCAGTACTTTTAGCTCTTACCTGACCACCATAACTAGCAGAATCAGTGCCGAATCTGGTTCCTCTAGCTCTTACACTTCTAGTTCCTCTAGGTCTTTCATGCAAGAATGAGAATTGAGTATCTGGGATATGTTTAATGTTGAGCAAGGTGGCGTCTTCATCAATAGAACAGTTTCTGTGACCAGTTGCAGCGCTTACTTGTACCTTTATATTCAATGGGTTCTGAATAAAGGTTTCTTCTTGGTATTGTGGTCTACCTCTGCCTCTTCTAGAGGAATAACTGTTGGAGCGTTGCACAGTAGGTCCCTTAAAGACCAAAACACAGAGTATTATATATAAAAAAAGAACAAAATAAAACTGTACCTTAGGTGGTTGATTGTAATTATCTCTAATAGAATCTCTTGAATAACTATAGGACGGTTCGGAGGGAGGTCCATATCTTATCTGTAAAAACCAATTCAAAGAAAATAAATTGAAAGGTGCAAATTATTGACTCACTTGTTCATGAAGGTGTTTTCTGTCAAGATGTTCCCTTAGATCCGAAACTTGCAAATCATTAAGAGTCCTTTGGACGTTATGAAATCTGTTATCCCCTCGGCCTCTGCCTCGACCCCGGCCACGAAAAGGGGGGCGATTTTGTTGACCTCTGCCCCGGTGGTAGTTGTCCGGTCGTGGTTCATCAGAAGGACCGTAATCAGCCATTATTAACACAAATATTGCTTTTTATTAATTTTGATATGTTTACATTTTATGTTTACGATATTATAACTTGTATATTAATTTAAATAATCTATTTATATGTAAAGCCCCCAAACATAACCGCACTTTTACTTGGACAACTTAAGACACGTCAATCAACAACATTGCCAAATTGCCATCGATAACGATAAGTCTATAAAAATGTGACAATGAATCATATCATAGGCGTAGCAAACGATAATCTGCCTGATAAAATTTAAGTAATTTTTTTAAGGCATCTTTAAATTTCAAAGGAAATAAGTAGCCCAATCGACAAAATAAACATTTTTTAAATGATGTCGATTATGATAACCTAGAAATGAAAAGAAAAAATAGAGGTGTTTTTTGTTCCAAAAGCAGTATCGAACCATATTAGATTATTCCCAGACAGCACACCAAATCCTTTGGATATCTACTGAACATCCCAATATCCACTGAATGTCCAGTCCATGGTAGATATATATTTTATATCCATGAGATGTAATTTATAGACATGCAAATGTCCATAAATAATAGTAATTATATAGCAAATTATTAAAAAATTACGCCATTGTGCTCGCCATTGTGGCTAATAGTACCGTTCAGATATTTAAAATTAATTTTTTTAAGGTGTATTCAATATCCCATGAACATCCACTAAATATATCAAAGTCTAGGCGCGAACGCAAACCATCGTGGATATCCACTAGATGTTATTTGATTCTGCTTACTAAGTATAGATGGCGATACCACTATCGCATCTACTCATGCTCGACCCGCCGTAATAGAGTTCGATCGAAATTTTTGTCCTACAGACTCCATTAGAGATTGGAGTCGAGAACTTCGATTTATTGCTGAAGAGTCCTAATAAGGATGACTTTCTCCTTAGTGGGCAAAATCAAAGGCAGAGTGTTGAAAATATTTTTTTATTTCTGCTATTTTCTTTCGACGTTATTCAATAATCATTGGTTACTTCTACTAAAGATACCCATAAAATATTTTGTTGAATATCCGAATATCTTCTATATCCTGGGATATAGACGGGCATTTGGTTGGATATCCATATTGGATATATTGAATATCCACAAAATATATTCTGGGATTTCTTGTATTTTCTGGAAGATACCCATTAGATATTTTGCTGAATATCCATTAGGATATCATTCTATATTCTGGATATAGACGGACATTTGGATATCCATATTAGATCCACAGAATATTTCTGATATCCTGTAGATATATTGGATATCCACAAAAGATATTCTGTAGATATCTCTGGGATTTGGTGTGTTGTCTGGGTTAGAATGTGTATGCGCATGTGTAGTATGATTTGTTAATTTGCTGGAACTTTAATTCATACTACACATCCGTATACAAATTCAGAACAGTTCTGTACTGTTGTTGGAACAAACTTGATAATAATAAGCCCATTGAGGGGGGTGGGTGGCTCAGTGGTAGAGTCTCTGCCTGTGGATCCAAGGGTCCCAGGTTCGAATCCCACCGTTGGCCGGGATTTTTTTAATTAATTTAATTAATTAAAATTAATTCTGATGCCTTGGTAGGATTCCCCACTCGACCATTCACTGTAGGGTTCTAATTAACAGTGCTGTTCCTAAAGTGGCGCTGGGAAACAGTAACAAGGCCTACACAGAACACGAGGCGAAATAACCTTAGCAGTTGAAGCTGATGACACAAAAAAAAATAAGCCCATTGAAGGGGTGGGTGGCTCAGTGGTAGAGTCTCTGCCGGTGGATCCAAGGGTCCTAGGTTCGAATCCCACCGTTGGCCGGGATTTTTTTGTTTAATTTAATTATTTAAATTAATTCTGATGCCTTGGTAGGATTCCCCATTCGACCATTCACTGTTGGGTTCTATATGTAATAGTGCTGTTCCTAAAGTGGCGCTGGGAAACAGTAACAAAGCCTACACAGAACACGAGGCTAATGGCCTTAGTAGTCGATGCCAATGACATCAAATTAAAAAAAAATAAGTCCATTGATACCAGTGAACTGTATATTTAAAATGGAACAACATTCCGTATTGATAAAAGTAAACCAAATTGAATGCGCTAGTTTAGTATGATGTCATCTGGGTTCCACTGACATTTAATTCTAACCAAACTTTTAACAAAAACATCAATAAATTTGACATAAACGTTTCTACTGTTTTTAGTTTATTTCTAAACATTGTTTACAGGTCATAAAAAATTGTTTAAAGGTATTTAATTGGTAACTAAACGATTGCATATTTGATGCATGTTATCTACTTACTTTAGTAATATATTTATAAAAGTGAAAAAACGATATAATTTAGGTAAACAAAACGAACAAAACGCACTCAAAAAAATCTACTGTCATTTTAATTGTCAGTAGAATCATAATTACATCATCACTAAACTAGCGTATTCGCGCATTACGTAGTACTAGTGACATTGCGCACAAAGTGCCACTGCAGGACCGTTTCAGCCTTTTCATGTACTTGTTTTAAAATCAGGAAAAAATATTTAAAGTATTTAGTATTTACATATCTAACTTATGTTAAGCAAGTTTTTATTTAAAATATTTGCATATTTTTGTCAGTTCAGATATGGAATATGATCAAACTCTATATAATATGCATTATAAATATGAGGTCCGCAATGTTTAAGGCAATTCACGGGGACAATTCTTACCGCTACTTCACGGTGTGAATGCAGAGCGGGTTTAAATGGGATACAAAAAAACTTAATCGGTTAATAGACTTTTCCCATTATTGATGATCTCTTCATACGCAAATTCTACATCCGCTTACAATCAAGAATATTTTAGTTATGTTTCCTACCTTGCGTTCCATTTACACCTTAGAATATATACTACTTTATATTCTAAGATTTACACATCCGAAAAAATGTCATTTTGTTTTTAGTTTGATAGTATTAGTAGGGGAGCCAGTAACACTTTTAGATGTGTTATTTGCGAAAGGTAAAATTACAAATATTACCTTGTAGAACATGGAAATAGTTTGCTAAAGCGATGGAGGCCTCGACGAAGCCATTTTAGAAAAGCTTGTGTAGAAAATGCTGTCATAGAAGCGCAAACTTAAAACTTTCAGATATTTTGTCAAAAGTTAGTAGAAAAAAGTTTGCTGTCACCAGTGTCACCTTCTTGAAATTCGGCTGACAGAACCTTGCTTGCTGACTGGGTATTTCACCGCAAGATCGATTGCAGCATAGTATTTTCATCTTCTACAGTTTAAGAATTAACGAAGTATTTATAATTTAGCCTTGTGCAAGTGTATCAAAAAAGTTTCACGCTCTCTCCTACTATATAGAATGATAACAGTTGTTTAAAGTAACAATGAGATGGAGTAATCGTCGTAGTCAACTCAAGTTGTAAGGTGAGGACAAGAGAGAGATAGCAAAAAGTGTTTGGAAAAAACCACCTAGCTGGCATTAGTTGCATTATAGATAATAAAAGAAAGTCAGATATGCATCTAATGCGCTAGTTCAGTGTGATGTCATTTTGGTTCCACTGACATTTAATTCTAACCAAACTTTTAACAAAAACATCAATAAATATGACATATACGTTTTTATTGTTTTCATTTTATTTCAAAATATTGTTTATAGGTCATAAAAAATAGTTTAAAGGTATATAATTGGTAACTAAACGATTGTATATTTCATACATGCTATCTACTTACTTTAGGAATATATAAAAGTGAAAAAACGATATAATTTAGGCAAACAAAACGCACTCAAAAAATCTACTGTCACTTTAATTGTCAGTGGAACCATAATTACATCATTACTGAACTAGCGCATATTTAAAAATAATTGTAATAGCCAATCCCAATTAAAAAATAGAGTGAACAGCATTAAAATCAGAACTTGAGAATAACATAAAATATTAATTGTTACAACAGGATATGGCTTTTATAAATTGAAATCTTCTCAAACTGCTTGTGTTGTAAATTTTTACTTTGGTGCTAATACGGTTAATTTTAATTATAGTTATCTAAGTAACAATCTAAGGGCCGATTCCACCGTTGTGTTAAACGGAGATTAAAATGACATTGTTATTGTAAAAATGTAATTTTAAACTTCGTTTAACACAACGGTGGAATCGGTCCTAACATGTTAAGATATTTGTGGGTATCAGTAATAATAATTTAAAATGCGAGAAACTCCCAAATTGTTTTTATCTCTGGGGGAAATTTAGAGATTTCATTTATAATATTGTCTATAAATTTGTCATAATTTTATCTGTTATCTCCAGCACCATGCTTTTATTTATTTTCAAATATTTTACGTAGCAGTTTATTGTTACGCCAATGCTTCTTTAAACTGGAAAAATGTGTATGAAACATCTGGCAACAACGATAAATTGAGTTCATGGCATACTATGTTATTTATTTGACAACATTTTTACGGGCGTTGTTCTTGTTATGCGATATCTCTCTTTGTCTTATAGTATTAGATAAGAAAAACTTCAAAACGCGAGCTTGCAGGATCTGAGCGCGAACATAGTTTCTCCGATTTCATTTGTTTATGCGCACGCGCATTAAGTACTTGATGTTAGCTGTCATGAAGGGCGTTTGCGTTAGTGAACTAATGAACAAGTGAAAAAGTATTATTTATGAAAATATACCGGTTTTATTAATAAGAGTGGTTGTGTATAACTATTATTGTTTTAAATATCAGGTAGGCCAACATCATTTTTTTAATTGATTCTTATTTTATTGATAAATGTCCACTTGTGACCTGAATATGGCCGACTCTAGGTGTAACCACTACAAATTTGGGAAACAATTATCGCAAGTTCCCTTTCTTGGAATATCCTTTGATTGTTTTCCTTTTTTAATATTTTCATTGGGTAATTATTTTTATAATACAGTTAAACAGTGCGGATTTCGTTTCAAAAACAAGTTCATAGGGTCATCAGGTGCAACAAATGACAGTTTTTTGGGCCCAGTGTCACTGAACTCAGAAATAGGGCATTATTTTTAGTTTAAAAAGCAAATAGAATGGCTAGTTTACTGATATTTTGCTATTTTGATTTAAAACTAAAGGGAGAATGTCATGTTCCCTGTGTATTTATTTGAAAATTTCTTTGTAACAATACATAGGCCGATTATTGATTACTTGTCATTGGATTATAAATAGACCTTGAGGAATTTGATTTTTTGATTCCGCTAATATTATCCTGCAAACTAAATTTCAAGTTGTTCTCCCAAAATTCGTTTCGAAACTAAATTCAGAACATTTATTGAATAAAGTAGTTTAGCAGATTGTGTTAGGTTATCATTAAATTGTTGTATAATATTACCAAAAGGTCAGAATCATTAGATAAAAAATTATTTAAATTATTTAAAAAATATATTATGCTCCTGTTCAATGTCTGTTTGTGTTTATTAATAACCATGATGCGCTTGTGAGTCATCATTTTTATAGTGGTTGGCCTTGAAATTAAAAGTTTTTTAAATTATTTTGTTATTACCTACCGTAAATTATGCAATTTTTATAATTCAGAGTTATACAATTATTTTAAAAACGAAAGTTATAAATAACACATTCGTTTTTGAAACAATTCTATAAATATTCCGCAAGTGATATAGAGAGGAAAATGATTTAGTAATTTTATAATCAACTCAACATTTACTATTATTTACGGCTGTGTAGCTTTGTGTAAATTTTCTTATTATGTAATTTAACTAAAGACTTGTTTAATTTACATATCTAATATTGGTTTTACCAATAAGAATTATTTAGTTTCGAGTTTATCTTATCTTGGCAATTGTTAGTGATTTCGTATTATCATTCTTTATTGATATGTGGGTACCTATTCGCAGAATTTATAAAATATCCTGAGACAGATAAAACAGGCTGAATAACTTTCAGGAAAATGCCTAATTAGTTTTTTTTTTTAAATTTTGAGGCCTCAACTACCAGGGCTACATCTGTAAAGTGTGGGAAAGTGGGTTGCTCCATAAAACTTAGGCCTCATCAGGCGCATTGTGCATCCTCCAGGCCATATATCTCATCAGAACACTGCTGGCTGTTGCTGAGAGGTGTCTAGAGACAGCTATCCTCTCAGCTCATCAAAGTCCTGTAGGCTATCAACTCATCAAAAATATCTACTGGCTGTCTCTGGGAGTGTCTAGGGATAGCCAGCCTCTCAGGTCAAAGTTCTGCAGGCTAATAACGTCGCTGAGAAGTGTCTCTAGATGCCCCATTTTTGGAAGTGGCCATTTGGTGGGCTTCTACCACCTGTTGGCAAATACCCTGGTGAAGCACTTAGTTTGTATATTTGACTTTGATACCTTTCGAATCCAAATCTTCGATCCCATAATACTGTCATGCATCACTCTACTATACCACTCTAACATATACTATTCTTGTTCTTTTATTGACCTATGTCCCATAGGACAGTTTACCCAGCAAATAAGCTTATAAATAGGCGCTATAATATGGAATTGGAAGATTTTTGAATAATTCCCCACCCTCTTAATTCGTATTGATTATGTTTGCTGGTTTTTGAAGGCAAGAAATAGAAATGGAAATAGAATTTATTCATTTTTGATAATTATACACTATACAAAGACACTAGGTACATAATGTAAAATCCTATCAGACTAGTCAAAAAAGTGTTAAGTAAAATACATTAGAAAATAAAATATATATAATAGACAATTCATGTTAAGATTAGTTTAAAAGTTCAAAAAATCTTCTATACTATAAAATACATTATTTACAAGAAAATTATTAAGATGTTTTTTTAAATCATTAAGACTAATTTGATGATAACCTGTAGTATCTTCTAATATGTTACTGAACTTATTGTAACACCTAATCCCAATATATTTTGGTGAATGCTGGCTTATTTGTAGTTGTGAAAAAGGTTGATGGATGTTAAATTTTAATCTAGTATCATATGAGTGCAGGTCTTTATTTTTCTTAAATATATGCTCATTATCTTTTATGATGTATAAAATTAGTTGAAAAATAAAAAGGGAAGGTAGTGTTAAAATTTGCATTTTCTTGAAAAGTTCTTTACATGATATTGGTTTCACCTTATACATGGCTCTCAGAACCTTCTTTTGAGATACAAAAGCTCTTTCAAAGTATGGTGAAGAACCCCAAAATATTAACCCATATTGTAAAGTTGAATGAACCAAACCAAAATAGCATAGTTTTAAAGTATCAAAAGATAGTGTCTCCCTTAAATTTTTGATGATATAACAAGTACTTAATTTTGAAGTTACCATTTTTATATGTGCTTCCCAATTTAATTTGGGATCTAATATTCCTAAAAATTTTATGTCATCAACGCTTTGAATAGTTTTTCCGTCAACGTGCAAGTAGGGTTCGTAAACTGGTAATATGTTTTTGGGTAGAAATTGCATGAAGTTTGTTTTTGTTACATTTAATGCCAGACCGTTATCTTTACAATACTGGTTAAACTCATAAATGTTAAACTATTGTTATTTTTGACACACACAGTAGGTGTTTCATTCTGCTAAAGTGGGCGACATATAATTAACTATAACTTTTTTCTATTAGACGTTAATTTTACCATGTTCAAGTGAACTATATAAGACCCTGATTGGTGGGTGAAGATTTACTAAACTAAGATTTATTAAACTAAAATATTGGATATTATTAGTATGACTACAGAATAACAATATATTGTTGCACTGGTTTTTGGAAAACTCAATTTATTTCAACTTAAACTATTACAATTCACAACTATCAACATTCCACAACATAAAACCTGGGTTTTTTGAGAGAAAAACGTCAAAATATTTGCGCAATTTACTTGATTTGCTGGATCAGTCATCTGTTTGTGTCTGTAACATGTGGAGGGTGGGTTACACCCACGCCACTTAGGCCTCAATAGGCCCATTGTACATCCTCCTAAGATGATTCATTAAAAAAGGCTTAATGGGGCAGAACTATTAAACAAAAAATGCTATTTGAGATTTTAAGAGTCATACAAACCACTATTCAATTTTTAGTCCAATTTTTCACCCATTTCAAATAAAAAGATTACTTTTTGCCAGTTGATTTTTTTTGTCAATACAAAAAATGTTTGTAATAACATTTAGATTCAGAAAAAACGTGTTTAAGCTACGATATCTTAAATTTCATTGGAAATGGTAAATATCCGGTCACGTGGCCGAAATCCCTACACCGAAAGTAGCAAAACCGGACGACAGAAAATGCTTGCAAAGGGTTTTTTTTTTATTGTTATAGATGTCTAGAAAATATATCATTGCCAGCAAAAAACAAAAAGTCCATTGATAAGTAACTTTATTTTTAATTTGAAAGGTTACACGACAGCTCATAGCAAGCAAAAAATTTGACACATACCACTTTTTGCAGTCAGGTGAGGGACTATATTGTCTGCCTTCTACCATGTATGCGTATTGGTAGTGTCTAAGTTGGTGTTTAAAAATTGTTTTACTATAAGAGGAAGAAAAAGAAATAGATATATTCCTAAGTCTGGGTACCAAAAACCCAAAAATTTACAGTTATCCACAAAGTAGAACAAATTCAAAGAACAGCTCTTGTTTCAACATAACAGGAGCCATGAAAACCATACCAACCACAGCCATGGAAGCAGTGGTGGCTTGTAGTAATTTAAAATGGGTTATCAATTTTTTCCAATTTTAGCATTTGTAAGTTAGGTTCAAAACTCTGTAAAGCTCGAATATCCCTCAAAACTTCGTTGGTATCGTCTGTATTAATAGGGTTAAATCCCATTTTTTTAAGATTCCCGTGTCATGAAAATATTGTTTGATAACTTCACTTACCAGAAATGGTACATTAATTTCTACTGTTTTTATTTCATCTGAAACTCTGATATTTTCGAAAAACTGGTCAATCTAAAAAACCAAAAGTTTTTCCTACTGTTTTGATTAGGGATAATTTTTAGCGGGGACAAACCTTAGAACTGCCAGTGAATCCCGAAATATGCTTCTTCTATGATCACTATCCAAAGTAGGCTTTTGCGCTTCGAAATACAACAGCAAAGTTGACGTTTTCAGCGAACTGACATTAAATGACAGCTTTGTCACTCGCCGAGCGGAAAACTCGCTTAATTTAAATTAGATATAATATAATATTTATTTTTAATAAATTATTTTCAAGTTATTTTTACGTAGTTTGATGTTTTATTGTCCAAATTAACATTGACTTTCATGACTAACTTAGATATAGGCAACACATTATACACTACTTACTACAAATTTTCAGTTTTATATCTATTTTTAAAAATCTCTTGTGTGCATTTTGAGCGAAAAGTTCGTTGTCGCTTGATAAAGTATTACTTTTAGCTCTCAATACACAAATAGGTATTTTATGCTTCGCACAAACCTTATGCACTTTTAGTGAAACAATTCTTGATTTTTTTTTATTGCCTGGCTATACAATAGCCACTATACCCATACTGGGCTTTGCAAAGCCAAGATAAAAATAATTGGTTTTGTTCCCATTTCGCCCGGTAGAAATGTTCAAAACATTATATTCACTACACCACAATATAAGCAGAAGCAAGTAAATTCAAATACGCACTTCAATTGGATATTTTCAATTTTATAATTATTAAAAGCGATTTTGGTTAATCGATTACAATATCATACTGTTTTTAAACAATACAACAAACTATTAACTAACTTGAAAAGAATCGATTAATCGAAAAG